AATTTAGGTTTTCTGCGGCACTTGCTTCTGCAGTTAAATGATTAAATATCGACTTTCTTGAAAAGAATTTGAAATCTAGTAACATCCACCAACCACTTTGCCTTTGGTGAATGAACATGGGACATCGGTAGCAAAGAAAAGAAATAAGAGATCATAGTATTTTTAGTCATAATTGAAAGCTAGAAGAGGATTTTTTTAAGAAATCATATCATGGACTTGACAAAGTTTTTGGAAAAAAAAAATGCTCCGCACACTATATATCAATCAGAAAGGTTAAAGTTTCAATTTGTGACTTCTTAGGGTCTTTTTTCTTTACTAAAAAATATTTCTTAGTTTGCTTAAAAAATCCTCAAACTATAAAAAAAAAGCACTGTAAATTTTAAAAATCACGAAGGATTATATAGAATTTCACATGTCAATATTATAAGACTTTAGGTGTTTCAAATTGAACAAAAGTCAAATCACGAGAGTCGCAGAATTCGAAAACAGTAAAATTTGAAAGTTCAATTTTGATTATGCGCATCCCTCCTAATAGCGACCTTCGTAAAATTTGATTTTCTCAAAAGAGACAACGGACTTTGTATGATGCATCTCTAAGAAATTATTTGGACACCTACTATCTCTTAATTAAGACCAAGTATATCTTTACCGCGATGAAGCTATGATATCATAGTGTTGGAAAATTAATATATTAGCTTCAAATGATATCTGTTCTTCATATATAAATTTCTTTTCTAGACATTAAAATTGGGATCGATTGTACTTAGGTGCTGGAGCTAGGAATAGTGGTACACTCGGTGGTGATAGGGCTTGGATTGGGAGCCTCAAGCAATGTGTGCACCATCAGAGGCCTTGTGGCTGCTCTTTGCTTCCATCAAATGTCTGAAGGCATGGGTCTTGGTGGCTGCATTCTTCAGGTAACACTTCAGATCCACAAACCTCCCAACTTTTTCAGTTTATGGCAAAGAAAAACAAATTAATCAGCAGATCTGTTGTTATTTCCATGTTCCCATGTTGGTCCAAGTCCGCTAATTGAATCTTTTGTAAACCCTATAAATAGGCAGAGTACAGGTGGTTGAAGAAGCTGGTAATGGTGTTCTTCTTCTCGGTGACGACCCCGTTTGGGATCGCTCTATCGAGCACCTACCAGGAGAACAGCCCGAGCTCGCTCATCACGGTCGGCCTGCTCAACGCGTCGTCCGCGGGGCTCCTGATCTACATGGCCCTTGTCGACCTCCTCGCCGCCGACTTCATGGGTCTGAAGCTGCAGCGCAGCATCAAGCTCCAGATCAAGTCCTATGCTGCCGTGCTGCTGGGTGCTGGTGGCATGTCTCTCATGGCCAAATGGGCCTGAGTTTGTACTAATTATCCTCAACGAACAAAACGTGTAACTGGATGGTTTTTCTGTTTTCTTTTCGCTTTTTGGTTTGTGCTCATGCTACATAAGTGTTTGGCTTTTGGATTATCAACAAATAAAGAATGTCATAAATTGTGTATATGATATGCTCTCATCACATAGAATGCTAACTTATGAACACAGAAAAAGTTTTCTGTTGATCCGCTATAATGCTGTCTTGAAAGGACGAACTAGTCACTTTATAAATGTCGTTTCGCAACACTTGCATCTCGATCAAGATACCGATAACCAAATAAGGAAGAAAGACGTTCTATTGGTAGGAATCCCTAGATTGTATCTCTTCATTTTAACAAATATAAAGTAAGATAAAAATATCAATCTTTGAAAAAATTGCGAGATGATGGAATTAATGTTAATTATAAATTTATATTTCTTTTCAACATAAAAACAGATTTAGTTCAAAGTCGGAAATTAACATCGTGTACGTATGTCTCGCCACTAAATAAATGGGTGGATATTAAAGCAACATGTGCGTGGAATTCTGCAAAACATCATAGACAACCTATAATCATGTGCGTTATGCTAATATATAGGGAAAAGCCTCCAAAAAGTCAAATACTCAATGAACCCATTTTATTAAGAGCGAAGTTCCCTTTTCATTTTTGCTTTCTCTCCTCTCACTGATGCACAAAACTCTCATACATCAATGGTCCTCATACAAGTTTTTCTCCTTGAGGCGGAACACACGCATTTGCCATTTACCAAGGCGGGACGCTGTGGAACAGGACAATGTCCAATACAAGTTTCTCCTGGTCCTTTCCGAAGATCCGAGAGATCCCAGCTCCCTCCCGGTGCAACTCTTGTTTGAGCATGTGAGATGACAAGACCTTTAAAGGAGGGAAAATGTGGAGGAACTCATCAGTGCAGTTCTACGTTTAGAAATGATAATAGTAAAATTGAGAGATGAGAAGAAACCTACCGGATGAAATCACCAATAGAAAGACCATTGTGTTGAGCTTGGTTTGACCCTTCTCCATGTCCAAGTACATCTGGCCTGATTGATTGTCAAAGGTATACGATTGTGAAAGATATTTGTTTATGTGTCCCACCGAAGTGGGTTTAAATAGATGTCTAAAGTTCGGTATTTTTGGAGTTTGAGCGGAGGCAAGATGCACAAAAAAAAAAAAATAGCAATTGGGTTGCTAAACATGCATATTCTGCTAATATTCTCATAGAAATTTTTTCTTTGTTACCCTTATTTCGCGGGTCTCCATAGAAAAGCACATTTGGTTTATTAGGTAAGACTATATGTACTCGCAGTATACAATTGGATTCTTCGAGATGTTTCTACCATAATTTAAGCATTTCTTGGAGTTAATGGGATTTCTTGGAGTTAATGGGATGAATTTACTTATTCTTGGTAAGAAATGTTACTCTCTAATAAAACTTAATTCTATCTTATCTCTTATCAACAAAGAAAGTAAATCTAGAGTGTAATTTAGATCATATGATCGAAATATCCAATTTACTATTCAATCTGCACATTAGTTTCCTTCCCTAAAAGTACGAGCGATTTTGACCCGTTTGAAATTCTCTAACATTTTCCTAATCTAAGAAAAGATATCTAACGTGTATACATTTCCTCATTTGTTAAATTGTGGCATCCCAGACACGCCACTTACTGATGCGTTCTTAATCTTTTCACTTTTAGCACAAGCCGAAGACAAAACACAATCAAATTAAACATTTCTCGATCAGTGGACACATCCACAACAAAATACCACATCTTCATTTCCCACTTTTTATTTATATACAAAAGGTTATTTGGATGACATCCTTTTCAAGCATGATAGCAAAATTTCATCGGGGAGGTCAAAATGGGGTCCTACTCCCCTAATGCAGCTACATCCACAACTCCACTTCTCTACTTGTCGCCACCACCTCCATCACTACTGACACTATCAGGATAAGGGGTCGGTGACATGTTCGAAGATCTGTAAAAAATGTGTCAACGATAAACAGTGAGCGAAAACTCAGCCAAGTAAACTCTATCACGCCATACTAAACGGATAATGACAAGCATTTCAATCGAGTTAAATAGGTAGACAGATGAACCAATTCACATCCAACCATAACTTATAAGACTCCCTTTTTTATTTGGGCGTAATTCACCAGATAAAAGATTGTCGATTGACTAACAGCCATTCACTTGAATTCTCATTTGATTTAGTAACTCAGGCCAAAACATCCTCCGGGGAACCCAGTTACCCCCCCGGGCATCTCGCACCCATCACGGCATCACGAGGACATCTGGGGAACTGTGTTACACCCCCAGGCATCCGAGGGAACCCCGTTACCCCCTCAGGCATCTCGTACCTACCACGGCATCACGAGGACATCTAGGGAACCGTGTTACACCCCCAGGCATCTGAGGGAACCCAGTTACCCCCTCAGGCATCTCGCACCTACCACGGCATCACGAGGACATCTGGGGAACCGTGTTACACCCCTAGGCATCCGAGGGAACCCAGTTACCCCCCCCCGGGCATCCCAACTCCGGGGCATCGTCGTCATGGGGACTGACGGAACAACCACACTTACAATTCCACACCCTTCGGCACATACATTACAGAAATTTAGAATTGTAATTTACAATATTTAATACAAAGGAAACATCTCATCAGAAAGTTCACAGCGTGTACGTTACATCTTCCGAAGACACCCAATCGAAAACTCCGATGTCTCAAATAAGAATCAATGAAATTTGGAATTTTGGCAATACTGGACAGTTTTGTAGACCCTGGGAAATCAATCCCAAAGACATGGCAAATGAGTTCCAAAAATTCCGAAATTCTAATATGATATTAACAAGACCTTAACACATATTTTTCATGAGAACACAATCCCAAAATCCTCCTGGAAAGAGAAATTTTGAGGCACGAAAACAGACTAGAACTGGACCGTCGGAACAGTGACACCGAGTTACAAGGAATGCTCTTTTGACACATCAAATGATGTCTAAACACCTTGAAATTTTTATATGTTGTACAAAAGTGGACTATGAACAAATTTTGTGAAGGAAGTATGGCCTAATTCGAAGTGGATATTTTTATAAAAAATCGAGAAGGTCCAGAGGTCACGGTCTCCACCTTAAATACAGTTCTGATCCGGTAAAAGATTGGCCCTTCGAAATATCCATTTGTACTCAGAAAAATATGAAATTTAAGTATGTTGTAAATCAAGATCTTCTGAACAACTTTTAAGAAGAACGTTTAGCCAAATTCGGTCCACAACCGAAGCTGTAAAAATAGAAAACAGTGGATGTCCGGAGAAGTCGGTTTCTGGAACCCGAAACAGACATCAAGAAATGGATTCCCATTGAAGATCCACTACCTTCCAGCCACGAATTCACCATTCTAGGAACTCAAATCAACATGCATGGCCTGTTCCATACTAGTCTAGCACCCTAGACCCACCAAGGTTCGTTCTAATGGATCAACCCTTCAAGGACAGCCGCTGCAACCACTCGGACTCACCTAACCCCAACTCAGATCAGTTCAAAAGCTTACGCGAGACCCAACCGTCATGCAACCATTAACGTGGTTAGTATAAGGTGATAGAGAGTACTTGCCAGTGAGAGGAAATGGCTGAGATGGCTGAGGCGAAGCTGCTGGTCCGAGGCGGAGACGAAACGGCCGGCTACCGCTGCTGGTCGTGGACAGAGTAGAGGGCGGCAGCTGCTGGTCGGTGGAGGGGCTGTCTTCCAGGCGGCCAGAGAGAGAGACGAGAGAGAGTTGAGCTGAGGCGAGAGAGTGAGTTCGCAGAGAAATGAGAGGGAGTGAGCTGAGGCGAGAGAGAGAGCCGAAGGAGATGCACTTCTCGGATGGCCCGTTAGTTCCCCTTGCATGCATGGGCATGTATGGTGACACTTGGCACCTTTCTCTTGCCAATTGTAGAGGGAAAAGAGAGTGTAGTGCCCCCTACAGTTGTCTTGCGTGCATGGCTTGCATGTAGGAGAAAAGACAAGACATAACAAGACAAAAGGGAATAAATGAAGAGGTTTGGGGGCTGCGGATGCGTCGTGGGGTTTCCGGCGGGAAAAAGGGAAAGGAAAAAGAAAAGGGAAGAAAAGGAAGGGAAAAGAGAAAAAAAGAGGAAAAGAAGGGGCTGTCCGTGAGCAAGGGGAAAAATGGGGAGAAAAATAACGGCGACGGGTTTGACGCGGAGTCGGGTCGTGCAAACGACGCGACGTCGGTTTAGTTGGTCCAACAATAATGATCTTTAGAATCCGAATTCGCGATTCCAAAAACGATATCAGCGATGTTAAACTTCCAATTTTTTTGTTGCTCCTAATTCCCGTCGACGAGAGTCTTAATCCATTAGGGTCCGTTAATCTTTGGTCATGAAAATTCGGGATGCCACATAAATGCTCTCTTTTTTCTCTAATTTTCATTGTCTTACCTGACGAATACATGCAAAATTCATTAGTACCACCGAAAGCGCGAGGGGTGTCAATAATAGAAATCCAACTCATTGGGTTTTGAGCTTTTCCTCTTCAGTGGCTGCTTAATTTGTATGAGTCAGCTGAGGGAACTTAAATTTGACGTCTAATTCATATTTACAAAAATGTCAATGATTTTCCTATCATTTTTTATTTTGTTATCCGTAAATCAAACTCTCGTCACCAGTGAAATGTTGGATATTTCAATAATCGTTGTTAAAAAGAGATCACTTTAATGCCAATTGTTGTTAAAAAGTGATCATTTCAGTGCTAAGAACTCCACGCGGAAATGCCACATGGACTAGATTTTTTAAATAATGTACCATAAAAGCCACGTATTATTTTTGGCTGGAATTTCAAGCCATTGGCACTTAAGTGATCATTTTTTCTTCGATTTTGCACTTAAGTGATTTAACGAAAACTTACACAACTTTTGTCACTTCTAGTGCTCTTCTGTCGCAAAGGTGCAAAGAAACGTTAAGGGGGAGAAAAATAGAAAAAAGAATTGATGGAATTTCTCTCTGTGAAATAGAGGGCTAAAGGAGGAAAGAAAAAAAAACTTGGTGATAATTTGTGGAATACTCGGTGAACTAGGATCTTTATTTGAGACTAAATTGACCACTTCAATTGCTTATCTGAGCTATCGTCTACATTGGGTCCTCTTTTAAGAAAATAGTTTCACTGGCCCTTATTTGAAATTGTTCCCTTAACTTAATTGTCGAGTGATCCGAAAGAATGGTCAAATACGAAGACAACCAAAATGGATCTTCAATATCTGCATTTTTGCCTTCATATCCTCAATTTCAGCACCTCATTTTTCATGTCAACCTAAAGCATACCTAGTTAGAGACGTAAGGCTATCGGGTGTGCCACTCTTTCGGGACCTCGACTTCTCTTATCCATCATTAACCGTTTATCCGACATATACATAAGAAATATGACTATCACATTTGATTACCTAGTTATGGAATACTAGGATGTAGTCGATCAATTTCGACCATTGGAAATTTTCAAGACCGTCCAAAAAGTCAAATACTCAATAATACCAACCCATTTTATTAAGAACGAAATTCCCTTTTTATTTTTGCTTCCTCTCCTCTCACAGAGGCACAAAACCAGCATACATCAATTGTCCTCATGCAAGTTTTTCTCCTACACACCCACATTTGCCATTTACCAAGGCGGGACGTTGCGGAAAAGGACACTGTCTAATACAAGTTTCTGCAAGTTTTTCTCCTACACACCCACATTTGCCATTTACCAAGGCGGGACGTTGCGGAAGAGGACACTGTCTAATACAAGTTTCTCCTTGTCCTTTCCGATTATCATTATCCGAGAGATCATAGCTCCCTCCTGGTCCATCTCTTGTTTGAGCATGTGAGACGACAAGACCTTTAAAGGAAGGAAAATGTGGAGGAACTCATCAGCGCAGTTCTACATTTAGAAATGATAATAGTAATTAAGAAAGATGAGAAGAAACCTACCGAATGCAATTACCAATATAAAGACTATTGCGCTGAGCTTGGTTTGACCCTTCTCCATTTCCAACGATATTTGGCTCGATCGACTGTGTAAGATATATGAGCGTGACAGATACGTGTTTGTGTCCCATTGAAGTAGGTTTATATAGATGTCTAAAGTTTGGTATTTTTGGAGTCTGATTAAATGCAAGATTCAAAAAACTGAGTGGTAATTGACTTGCTACATATTCATATTCTCATAGAGATTTTATCTTTGTTACCTTTATTCGCGGATCTCCATGGAAATGCACGTTTGCTTTATTAGGTAAGACTATCAGTACTCGCGGTATACAATTGGCTACTTCGAGAATTTCCTACCATAATTTGAGCATTTCTAGGAGTTAATGGGATGAATTTACTATGTTTATGGTAAGAAATGTTACTCTCTAATAAAACTTACTTTTATCTGATCTCCTATTAATAAAGGAAGTAAATCTCTCGGTGGTCCATCTAATGCTAGAGTGTAATTTAGATCGGATGATCGAAATATCTTATTTGGTAATCAATCTACACATTAGTTTCCTTCGCTAAAAGAATATACGATTTTGACATGTTTGGCATTCTCTAATATAATCCTAATATAAGAAAAGATATCTAACACGTGTATATTTCCTCATTCATCAAATGCTCTCTTTTTTCTCTAATTTTTATTGTCTGACCCGACGAATAGATGCAAAATTCATTAGTACCGCGGAAAGTACGAGGGGTGTGAATAATAAAAATCCAACTCATTGGGTTTTAAGCTTTTCCTCTTCAGTGGCTGCTTAATTTGCATGACTCAGCTCTGGAACTTAATTCTTTTTTTTTTGTTGGAGTCTATAATTATTATGAAAGCAAAATTTTAAATTTGACGTCTAACTCATATTTACAAAAATGTCAACGATTTTCCTATCCTTTATTATTTTGTTATCCGTACATCAAACTCTTGTCACAATGTTGGATATTTAAAGTTATTAATTTTCCTATCCTTCTCTCTCCTTGTCCCGCAGGCGCTCTCCGTCGTGCCCGAGGAGTGCACCGCCGAATCCGACGACTGCATCAACAAGGCCAAGGCACTCCCCCTCAAGATCATCGCCATCGTCTCCATCCTCGTCACGAGTCTGATCGGTGTCTGCTCCCTACTCTTCACCCGCTCGGTCCAGGCCCTCAACCCTGACCGCGACCTCTTCGTCATCATCAAGTGCTTCGCGGCAGGCATCATCCTCGCCACCGGGTTCATGCACGTGTCGCCCGACTCCTTCGACATGCTGTCCTTGTCACGGCCCAAACCTTACGGCGCACGAGCATCCCAACCGAGGTCGAATTCATGTGACGTCCTAGGACGCATCGCCGACCCAACACCCAAAACAGAGATCAAGACACATGCGGAAGCAACGTAAACACCCGTACAGTTTAAAACACATGACCAAGGATAGCCCAAACAACAAACAACATTATAAATATACACTTGCATTAACATCAGGGAAACATATACAATATCCGTTACACAAAATACATACAAAGAATCAAAAGCGGGTCAACGGCCACTACTGACAAAAAGGGGAAAGTGGCTCGGGCGGTCAGTCGAAACACTAACCTAAGGAAGGGCTTCGGTCAAAAAGGTACTGGCCCGACCTAACTAGGGATACGGCTAAACCCTAAGGTACCTAGTCTGGGTCGGATCCCGAGGACTCGGAACAACTGTCAGACAACTCATCCTCGGAGTCCATGGAATCCAGCTCGGACTCGGCCTCTGCCGACCCGTCCTCAGAATCGACCTCCTCTGGCTCGCTCTCCGGCTCGGAGTCCTGCTCCATCGGCTCCAGCTCGCTATCCGACTCCATAGGTTCTGGGTCAGAATCCCAGTCCACCGGCTCTTCGTCCATCGGGTTTGGTTTGTCGACCTCCCAGATAACAGGTCCGTGTCCGACGTCAGAATCCTCTCTAAATGAGGCCTCGGGGCTCGCCAAGTCTCCATCAGCACACTGGGGATCTATATCACCTAGCCCGTTGAACGGGACATCAAAGGTCCTAAGAGGTCCGAAAGTCCCGATGTAGTCCATGAAGCACCAACCTATGTACTCGTGGGTTTGGAAGTGCTTCTCGCCCACATCGACCCATACTGTAAGAAAATATCTAATATACGTATCCCCGTTCCCTACAGGGTACTCGGTCACATCCCGGTCTATTCGGGACGGGATCCCAAAACGGATTGGAACTTCTGCCATCCTCAAAGCCGGGGGTCTAAAAATGTGGGTTTTAACAACCGTGAGAACGAATCTGAGCGAGTAAACCCCATAAACCTAAACTAGGCTAACATGCACCTCCTGAAAGGCAAACAATCACACGAACAGACCAATAATCAATTGACCTAGGCCCTCGGGCCCAGATCGAGAACACAAATGACCCTGCATGTTAGGCATATAATAATTGGGATAATGGCACATACGCGAACATACGCGGCCACACGTACGCCATGTACATGCTCGTACTCCTTGATGTCTGCATCACACACGATTCACCGACACGCACATGCTTGCACACCTGCCAATGCACTCTTGCACACACATGCCATCAATATGATTGTGCTCATGATTCGGCTCAATTATGCACACTTGCACACTGCCAATTTCTCATTTGTAAATCGACCCGCGTAAAACGCATCAGGTCTAACAATATCCAACACTTCCTGGCCCGCCTAAAACGCATCAGGCCCAGTGTCTCTAGCCCGCATAAAACGCATCAGGTGCAACACCGATCTCCATATACGGACCGAACCCGCGTAAAACGCATCAGGTTGGCTGTCTTCCGGCAATCCGGGCATCGTCCCGCGTAAAACGCATCAGGACGGGTTCAATACCCCGCGTAACACGCATCAGGGCTTATAGTGATCACACGTACACACACCAAATTTTATCTGAACCCCGCGTAAGACGCATCAGGGCGATTAGGTGATCACATGCTCATGTCAAGCACGCATACTCGCACAATTCTCATATCATGCCAATGCTCAGCATACGAAATGCGTGGTCATGCACAATGAGCACTCGATTTCACATAGGCACACAATCAATTAATGCCAACTCAATGTGCATCTCAACATGCTCAATACCACAAATTAACTTGCCCAATTAATCCAATAACTCAATTCAGCCACGATATGATCAACTCACAATTTAGCATGCTCAGAACATCACATTGACATGCCCAATTAATTCAATTAGTCCGATTCGAACACAGCTCACAATTGTCACACAATTTCCATGCGATTAGAACAATTCAAATACGCATTCGCACGGACCGCCATGCCTCGTCATTCTCGGCCACACATGGCATGCATCATGGCATCACAATAATAATCACCGATCAAGCACGAATCAGCCACTAATCGGACAATACAAGGCATGCTCGGGATTCCACAATTAAACCCTAAATTAACCGAACTTAGGCCAATTAAATCCAATAATTTCAGCCATTAGATAGCCCACTCTAGGGCACTAAACCACATTGAAACCAACATATTAGACTCCCAAATCATCACATAATCCACGACTAATTAATCAGCCCACTAATTATCCCTAAATTCCCCTAATTAACCTCTAAATTACCCTAAACCTATCTAGAAATGCTAATTAGCCTAATTAGGATTTAGGGTTAATACTCACTTGGGCTCCTAAGCTCCAAACAAGCTGATCGGGAGAGAAAAACGGGCTGGCTGAGCTGGTTTCACGGCGGTGCAAGCACCGGCGAACGGCGGCTCCCGCGGCGGCGCGAGCGGCGGTGTGCGGCTGCTCACGCGGCTGGGGAAAGGGAGAAAGAGAATGGGACGGCTGGAAAGGTTGGGCGAGGATGAGGGCGTGGACGGCGGCTCACGACGGCGGCACCAGCGAGCGGCGGCGCTCCGGTGTGCTCGGCTGCTCACGGTTGAAGGGGAAAGAAAGAAAGGGAGAGTGGCGTGGGGGAGGGGTTGGCCGGAGATGGTGAGAGAGAGAGAGAGAGAGAGAGAGAGAGAGAGAGAGAGAGAGAGAGAGAGAGAGAGAGGAGAGTGTATAGGCTAGAGTGAGTGGGGGTGGTTGAACAACTTCCCAAAAATTACCATCTTGTCCTCATTTCTAGGGCTAGGATCAAATCTTGATAAAATATCTAGGGGTAGATTGGTCCACTAATTTTAGCAATAATAGGGCTGATAATTCTAATCTAAACTCCTAAAATTCGGAATACAAGCATAGGGCGTAGGGGCAAAATGGTAATTTTCCGGTCCCGGGCCAAATTTTCAATTTTCGACTCTACCGATTCCAAATATAAGTGGCCACACTTATACGACGTTGTCCTTGCAAAATAGTTGCATACGCCCACGAAATTCGACACCGAAGTCCGGACTCAATTCCACGATCGATTTCGCTCAAATGGGATTTTAGCGTCTCTCACTAACGGGCGGCTGTTTAGGGGTTACGCGTACCAACCTAGGGTTACTCGAGTCGTGACGATCTCGATCTCCAAGAGAACACGAGGATTTATCACTAGTTCCGGGGGTCGCGATCGTTCGGAATAAGTTCGGGATTGTTCGTCACGCGTACTCTCGATCGTGCGGAATAACCCGCGATCCGATCGTATGTCGCTGGCCAAACCAAATCCGTCACTTTCCTTGGACCGGCCCACATTGGCATAAAATATTCCCTCGTCATTTCTCGGAACCGGACTCAATTCACGATCGAGTTCTTGGGTCCACGTACCGTTTTCCTAGTTAGCCATTCCCTATTGGTCAGTATCCCGAGAATGATCAGTTCCGGGCGAGACTTACTAAAACGAATTGAGAAATACATATCCATTTTATTGATCACGAAAGTGGGTCGAATTCAGGACGTTACAACTCTTCCCCACTTACAAAAATTTCGTCCTTGAAATTTACAATCCAAACCCGACTACTCAAATAAATGGGGGTACTGACGTTGTATTACTTCTTCGCTTTCCCAGGTGGCGCCTTCCGTCCCGTGATGCTCCCAAACAACTTTGACCAACGGGATCGTTTTATTCCTTAAAACTTGCTCCTTCCTGTCCTCGATTCGCACCGGTCTCTCCACGTACGACACCCTGTCGTCCACGTCTATTACTTCATGATTCAAAATGTGGGTCGGATTCAGTTCGTACTTCCTTAACATTGACACGTGGAAGACGTTATGAACTGGCGACAAATTCGGCGGCAAGGCGAGACGATAAGCCAACGTTCCAATCCTCTCCAAAATCTCGAACGGGCCTATATACCTTGGACTCAGCTTTCCTTTCTTGCCAAACCAAGACAGTCCTCTCATCGGTGAGATCTTAAGGAATACGTGGTCACCAACCTGAAACTCCAGCGGTCTACGCCTTCGGTCCTCATAACTCTTTTGACGGCTCTGAGCTGTCCTTAGCCTTTCCCGGATAATCTTTACCGTTTCCATCGACTGTTGAACCAACTCTGGCCCTGTTACACTTCTTTCTCCCACTTCATCCCAACACAATGGTGTTCTACACGCTCTGCCATAAAGTGCTTCAAATAGTGCCATCCCAATACTCTGCTGAAAGCTATTATTGTAGGCAAATTCAACCAAATGCAACTGCTCTTTCCACTTGCCCCTTAAATCTAATACACACGCTCTCAGCATATCCTCTAAGGTCTGAATAGTCCTCTCAGATTGGCCATCTGTCTGCGGATGATAGGCCGTACTGAATTGCAACTTTGTTCCCATGGCCAATTGTAGACTTTTCTAAAAATTAGCAGTGAACCGGGGATCACGGTCCGAAGTGATCGTTACCGGTACTCCATGAAGACAGACTATCTGGCGCACATATAATTTAGCATACCTTTCCAACTCGAAGTCCTTTCGCACTGCCAGGAAGTGCGCTGACTTGGTCAATCTGTCCACTATCACCTAAATAGAATCGTGTCCCCTCTGGCTTCTTGGCAATTCCGTTACAAAATCCATCGTAATATGCTCCCATTTCCATTCTGGGATTTCCAACGGCTGCAACATTCTACCAGGTCTACAATGTTGTGCCTTCACTTGTTGGCACGACAAACACTTGGCCACATACTTGGCCACATCCACCGTCATTCCGTTCCACCAATAATGCTGTCGAAGGTTCTGGTACATCTTCGTGCTGCCCGGGTGAATGCTATAATTGTTCCTATGAGCTTCCGATAAAATCTCTTCCTTAAGTTCCAAATCATCGGACACGCACAAACGTCCTTGAAACTTAAGAATTCCGTCCTCGGACACTTGGAAGTCCGGT